GGCCTTCTCCAAGAAGCTGATCCTAGGAAATTTCCACACCTCTAACTTTACATTGATTTTCTATTGTCTTAGCTTCGTCTCTATACCATATGTGCCTCTGCAATTGTGCTCCAGGTTCCAGGACAGCCATTACTAATTCTTTACAGTCCTGAGGAATAATCCTATTACAAGTTGACCACGAGTTTAACATTTGCTTTACAAATGGAGAATGCATGCCATAGGATACTATAGCTTCAAAATCTCCTCAAATCTAACATTTCAACTGGAGTCCAATTAGTTTGTACACACCCTTGATCAGGTGGTTTCTATATGGTTATTAGATAAATCACATTTGATTGCTTAAAAACAGGCTGTCTCTCTGTAGCCTTATAATTTAATCCTGAAATAATTTTATCCTTAAATTCTTCTGTCTAAGTCTGAATTTCTCTATAATTCATTTTAACAGGTTTATCTAAAGGGTTTATCTTGGCACTTAAAATGACCATCTTTTTTAATAGTAAAATAGGGATAATTAAACAAATAATATGCATAATTGATTTTACATACCTCCCATCAACATTAATCCTCTTATGTAATTGTTTCATTTTCAGACTGCCTAATGTGTTATCAAACAAAGATCAATTTCCTTCCATTGTAAAGATATTTTCCCTTTTTTATAATGTGGGAAAATTTTTTCTCTTTTAACTAGTTTCTCCCTTTAAGATATCTGATATCTTAATTGACTTACCAAGACAGAGACAGAGACAGAGAAAGAAAGCACCTACTACCTACCAGGAGAAGAGAAAAAAGCTAAAAGCTAAAATCCAGCCACATGCTCTGGCTTGAGCTGTTTTGGGCCTGAGCCAGGGGTCTATAAACTCACAAGTGGTCTAGCTGCTAAGAGCTCCAGCCTTTTTAAGCTCTGGCCACGTGCCTTAGAGATCTGGCTGCAGATAGCTCCAGCTGTGTGTATCCAGACTGCTTGTAGCTACAGTCAAGTGCAGCTCTGGTTGTGTGTAGCCGGACCACTTGTAGTTCCAGCCTGGGCCTGGGGCCTGTAAACTCTGGCCTGTAAGGCCACCAATGGTTTTTTAATGAATTCTTGCCATGTCGGTGCCAAATGTAGATAAATTTCTAAACTCTCTTATTAAATGAGAAACACAGAGCCAAATACAAAGGTAATAGCCGAAGAGATCAGAGAAATAGCGAATAGCCATGACTGGCCTGAGCTTACCACCATGCTGTAGCTTCCCCAGAGAGAGAGCTTCTTCCTGTCTAACCTGAAGGAGAAAGGCAGAACAAAGGAGAGGCTGCCAGCCACTGCCATGAGAAGCAAGATGTAAAGATACCAGTAAGCCAAGAGCTGTGTGGCAAGGCATAGACTAATAGAAATGGAACTAATTGAAGATGTAAGATCTAGCTAGCAAGAAGCCTGAGCCTTTAGGCCATACAGTTTTAATTAATATAAGCTTCTAAGTGATTATTTTATAAGTGGCTGTGGGACTGTAGACCATGGGAGCCAGGTGGAACCAGAAAACTTTCAGTCACAGGGTTTCTCTGTGTAACTGTCTGGCTGTCCTGAAACTCACTTTGTAGACCAGGCTAGCCTCAAACTCACAGGGAGGGATTCACCTGCCTCTGCCTCCCAAGTGCTGGGATTAAAGGCATGCACCACCACCAGCAGCATTTTTAGCGTATTTTTATCATAATTTAAAATCTTTTGGCCTCACACACATAATGCACATAAATAAAAATAGATAAACCTTTAAAATAAAATAGAAACAGTCTCCCAAAACAATCATCACCACAGCAAAACTAAACACCTACCCCACCAAATGAAAATAAGGTAATATACTCTAAGAGGTTTCTTTTTGTGTTGGGGGTCCTTTGAGACAGGGTCTTGCTATGCAGCCCTGTCTGGTCTGAAACTCACTATGCATTGTGTGATATTTTGGATTACATTCTGATGCTCCCAAGACTACGAATAAAAATTTGCCTTTAATCTGAGGACAGAGCTAACTACTAGCTGACCAATGTTAGCCATAGAGCTTTTGGAGGACTGAGGACAGATAGACAGGAAGTAGTAGGGTGTGGCTTGGAGAGGGTCTCAGCCCTTTTTAGATCAAGGAATGTGTGTGTGAGAGAGGTTTATCCCATCTGAATCTGTCTTATTTTGAATCTATTGCTTTAAACTGCAATGTGGCTAGGACAGACACATGAGAAATGAAGTAGAAAGCTGTTTTTGTCTTCATTATTGTGTGTTTAGAAGCCATTTTTAAACTTTTTTAGGCTTTATGGAAATTTGAGAGCCCTACATTGGTATGACATATGTAGTGATATGTTTGTTCTGGTCCCACCAAGGCTCTGCAGTCCCGTGACCCGCTTATAAAATAATCACTCAGAAGCTTGTATTAATTACTTCTTGGCCATTAGCTCAGGCTTATTACTGACTATCTCTTACACTTAAAATAACCCATAATTCTTATTTATATTTTGCCGTGTGGCTTGGTACCTTTTCTCAATTCTGCCTTGTCTTATTTGTGGTGGTATTGTGTTCCCCAAAATATTGTATACCCTAATAAGCTTATCTGGGGTCAGAGACAGAACAGCCACTAGATACAAAGGCTAGAAAATGGTGGCACTCACACCTTTAATCCTAGCACTCCAGAGGTCGAAATCCCTCTGGATCTCTGTGAGTTCAAGGCCACATTGGAAATGGCCAGGCATGGTGACACATGCCTTTAATCCCAGGGAGTGATGGCAAAACCAGAAATATATATAAGGCGTGGAGACCAGGAACTAGAAGCATTTGGCTGGTTAAGTTTTCAGGCTTTCGAGCAGCACAGTTCAGCTGAGAGCCATTCGGATATGAGGACACAGAGGCTTCCAGTCTGAGGAAACAAGACCAGCTGAGAAGTTGGCCAGGTGAGGTTAGCTGTGGCTTGTTCTGTCTCTCTGATCTTCTAGTGTTCACCCCAATACCTGGCCCATGTTTGATTTTATTAATAAGACCATCTAAGATTTCTGCTACACATATTGCTTCCTCTGTGTCTGGCTGCCGACTCCTGACTCAGCCCTCCTCTTCCCAGAATTCTCCTTGTCTCTCACCCCGCCTATATTTCCTGCCTGACTACTGGCCAATCAGCATTTTATTTATCAACCAATCAGAGCAACACATTTACAGCATACAGAACGACATCCCACAGCATGTACACAATGTGTTTTGATTTTGCCCATTCCTTCTTACCTCCATCCAACTCCTCTTGGGACCCACCACCCTTGTTGTTAGATGCTGCCATTACTTGGTCATTCCCTTGTGTTTGTGTCCTTCCAGGTGGCAGTTTCATTGATGATTTTTCAAACTTTCTATGTGGGGATTGAATAATCTGATTCATAATCATTCCTTTCTTATCCTTTTGCTCATTTGAAGCTTATTTTAGAATACTCTCTTTGGATGTCTTTTTATTCATTGAACTTTCAGTACTTCTAGCATATCTCTTTATATGATCAGGAATGTTACATTTAACTATGAATGCATTGATATAAAATATCAAAGATATGAAGTGTGATCCTGGACTTGCTTGAGGAAGGACACTTCCCCATTACCATTTAAAGAGTGACATCTTGGGTTCGCAAAGTCATGTAAATATGGATAGCACTTATAGGGTCTTAATCAATGTTTTCATTCTCAGACTTACTGACATTTTTTATTATTTGTGTGTATGATGTGTTCATGTGTGTGGATATATAGAGTTCAGACGTTAACATCAAGATTTGTCTGTCATTTTCCACCTTTGAGACAGGTTTCTCACTGAACCTGAACCTTACCATTTAGCCTAGATTGGTCATCAAGACTCCAAGGTCTTCCTGTCTGTGCCACCCACTATTGAGGTTCCAGGCATGTGCCACCATAACTAGCTTTTTCATGGGTGCTGGGGGTCTAAGCTCAGTTCCTCTGCTTGAGCAGAAAGCACTTTCCACACTGAGCCATCTCCATAGCCCTCTTCCTGACATTTCTGAACTATATCCTACTTTGTGAACTCCTAATTAGGCCTCCTGCAGTGGTATAGTAGTGGCCCTTGATCCCATCATTTGAACTGAAAGGTTTGCTAGCCAGTTCTCCATCTTTCTTGGTATCAACTATATTAAAGTGAAATTATAAAACCATCACCATGTAAACATGGAGTAAACTGAAATATTATTTCCTAAAAGAAATGAAAATCCATTTAGTTTAATGAACTCTTGTAGATGTATCCAACCTTCTTATTAAATAAGAAACACAGAACCAATGCAAAGAAGAAAGCCAAGAGGTCAGAGCTAAGAGCTAAAACCTTACCCTTCCTCCTGCGGTGGTCCTACCTCTCCGAACCAGAGCTACCCCTGTGTTAAAGTCTTTATATAGAGTTCCTGTCCTGCCTTCTCATTGGTTGTAAACCCAACCACATGACCGCCTCCTCAAGGCCTGTCTGTATAGGCCTCCAGGTTTTCCATGATTGGTATTAAGATTAAAGGCATGTGTATCCAATAATGGCTGTATCCCTGAACACACAGAGACTTACCCAGCTCTGCCTACCAAGTGCTGGGATTACAAGCGTACGCTACCACTGCCCTGCTTTCCTATGGCTTGCTAATAGCTCTGACCCCCGGGCAACTTTATTTATTAACATACAAATAACATTTTAATACAAATAAAATATCACCATAAACTCTTATAATTATGTTGTCATTTTTTTTTTAAGTCATACAAAGTAGCGATTTTTGTTGTGGCATTTTCATACTGTGTACCATTATGTTCCAGTGTTCTAATTCATCCTTCTTACAAACAATCTTGAGTGCCCATGATAAGCAGGAATTCTTGTAGGCATGATAAGACATGACTGGGCAAATTAAGTGACTTTTGAGAGGACCATAACACACATAAACACACACACAAAACACACACACACACACACACACACACACACACACACACACACACACACACACACACAAGCAAAAAATAATCTTTTGCTTCTTTCCAGAGAGTGGGCCATGGTGATGACAACCATGCAGATGCTGACCGATCACCTATATTTCTTCAGTTTATTGATTGTGTTTGGCAGATGACAAGACAAGTAAGAGATTTCAAGTATATTTCTGACCTGTTATAGTCTTTGATTTAAATATATCTCATAGTTGAAAATTAAATTTCCATTGCTATTTCATTCAAAATGAGGGTGTATATGTGTTAAAAATCATTCCTTCTATTACTCAATACAGTTTGAGTATTCTCAAACAGAATTCTCATTCACTTAAAGATGTGAACATAAAAGTAGAAACAGTTTTCTTCTGCCAGTGGTTTTGGTCAATCCTTTTATCCACTAACTATGCAAATCAAGGCCCAAATCCACAGTTAAGTTTGCTTCTACCTTTCCCCCTTTGTCAGTCCTCTGCTCTGCTGAGCACTTACTCTAGGATTTCATCCCACCTTAGAACTGTTAGATAAATGTGTCAGTCCATGGCATCTGAGAATCTTCATACTCTGCTCCAGGCCATAGCCCTTCACACACCAGAGTCACTGAGATAAATGAGTATCTAAGAGCCAATAACAGAGAGGAAGCTTGGGAGCTTTTTGTCCTAAGTAGTGGTTTTAGCTTTGTAACTCCACTGAACAGGGCTCTGGTAAGCAAGAAAACATACAGGGATTCCCCATTCCTTGAATTAATCAGGCCCTGCAGCTTCACTTTAAATAGGGCCCATTCAGATATTCCCTAATCTCTAACATCCAAGCCTGAGATTAGAATCTTAGCCTTGGGATAGGAGACTGTGCCAGACACATGAACTTGGACCCAGAAAGGAGAGAAAAGGCAGAGCAGTTTTTCCCAGTGTGTGCTGTTCTGCCTGGCTTGAGTGGGAGTAAGTTGGAGACAGAACCAGGGCCTGTTCTTGTGCATCTGTGAGAAACTCCTGGCCATCTTCAGGGCTCCTCCAAATGCCTTGATTTTCATGTTTGATGCTCCTGAAAGCCTTTTCAAACTTCTCAGAGGACATTTATCTCCTCACTGTGGAAAGCTATGAATTATCATCCTTGTTTGCTCACTGTGGGCTACTATTACTGGTAGAAATGTGTTGGGATGACAAAATACTCTGCTGCCATCATGGTATAGACTACTTCCCAGCAGCATCCCCTGGGAACTTAGTGGCCATACCAACTCTAGACCCACTACAGACCTGTTGATGCTCAAAGGTAGAGCCAACACCCTGGGGCTCCCAAGCCCTCCAGGCTCTTCTGATGTTTGAGGGCACAGTGTTGCTTGAATTTTAAATGGACTTATAATATAATACTGGAGCCAGATATTGGGGTAAATGCTGAAAGATCAGAGAGACAAAGGAACAAGCCACTGCCACATCTCACTTCGCCAACTCCATGAATCCTCTGACTTAATGCCTCTGAGTCCTCAGCCAGAAGGCTTCCTCAGCCGAAAGGGATCCAGCCGAAAAGGCTCTCAGCTGAGAAGGGCTTCAGCTGAAAAGCCTCAGGCAAAAGCTTCAGCCAAAAAAGGGGCTTTAGTTCCTGTCTCCTTACACCTTATATACCTTTCTCCACCCAACCATATTACTTCCTTCCTAGGGATGGGATTTAAGGTATGTGTGCTTCCCAAATACTGGTAGCAGAGTCATGAGATCTCAAAGGCTGGGATTAAAGGTGTGAGATTCCCAAGTGCTGGGATTAAAGGTGTGTGCCACCACTGCCTGGCTCTGTTTTCTCTCCTAGACTGAATCAATCTCATGTAGTCCAGGGTGGGTTTAACTCACAGAAATCCATCTGGTGTGCTAGGATTAAAGGTGTGTGCCACCACTGCCTGACCTCTATGTTTAATTTAGTGACTTGTTCTGTTCTCTGATCTTCAGGTAAATTTTATTATGGTACACAATATATCACCCCAGCACAGTGCTAGACCAGCCCAGCTGGAACTTGAATCAGCACATGAATCTGGTGATATTGTGTTCCTCAATATAGTGCACCCTAATAAACTTGTTTGGGGGTCAGAGAACAGAACAGCCACGATATTAAACATAGAGGTTAGGCAATGGTAGCACACATGCCTTTAATCCTACCATTTGGAAGGGATCTCTGTAAATTCAAAGCCACACTGGAAACAGCCAGGCATGGTGACTCACACCTTTAATCCCAGGAAGTGATGGCAGAAAGCAGAAAGGTATATAGAGCCTGGTTAAGCTTTTAGGCTTTTGAGCAGCAGTTCAGCTGAGATTCATTCTGGATGAGTACTCAGAGGCTTCCAGTCTGAGGAAACAGGATTAGCTGAGGAATTGGCAAGGTGAGGTGACTGTGGCTTGTTCTGCTTCTCTGATCTTCCAGCATTCACTCCAATACCTGGCTCCAGGTTTGTTTTTATTAATAAGACCTTTTAAGATTCATGCTACATGAACCCCCTGGGGTTCTTATTAAAATATCAGAATGTGAGTCAGTGACTGTATCCTGAAGTTTGCAGAGCTGCTTTTTTGATGCTATGAGTTCACAGACTGTGGCAAGGGTCTAGGATCAGCCCTACCTTTCAAAAATGAGAAACAAGGGGAAAGGATTTGGAATAGATCTTACAGGCCATCACCTGGAACAGACTCTTACCTTTTGACTTAGCATCAGCAAACTGACAGGCGTCTTAATTTAACTGAGTTCCATGTCATATAGGATTAAAAATAGTAGGTCTGAGGAGAGCATGCCCAAGTGAAAGGTAACAGAAACAACAGGCTGAGAAGGCCTAGATGCTGGATGGAAGTCCTTCTGTTTATGGTATCCTACTAATGACAAAAGTCAATGGTTGTTCCATTCAATAAAAGAAAGCATGAAACACATTTAAGAAAAATACTGGTAGCAGTATTTAAAATTTAAATGGAAAAAGTGATAACTTTTTTAACATATGAACTAACTCATTTTCCCCAAATGCTTCTGAACATGCACATTGGCATGCATATGTGTGTCTATCCTTTCAAATTGACCTCCGTTTCTCATAAGGATTAGTGCTTATTTTTACCTCAAATCTGTTACTTTGTGCTGCTTATTGGTTTTTATGAAAGAAAATAAGGGGTTTGGGTGGAATACTTCAGGGGCTTCTCACAACTCTCTGATTCTGTTCATTAAATGTGTGTGTGTGTAATTTTCCTTAAAATAACATTCGTTCCTAAGGAGAGGAGATAAGTGGTAAGGGTTTAACTATAAGTCAAAAAATGATTTTTACATGGAGCAAGCTAGTAACATATGTTTCCATGTAATATGATTTGTTTATTTTTCATTTGCTTACTGCAAATTGAGTTAAATCAGTATAAAGTCAGGAAAAAATCTCAATACAATGAGCTGTTTTGTTTGTTGACAAACTATTACAAAAGGAACTAGGGAAAATGCTTGAGGTATTCTTTAGCATCTCAGAAACTTTCTAGAGCATCTATAGTTTAAAGGATAACTCTCGATTCTTTTGTTCCTCAAAAAGTACAGAATTTCAGTGTACATTATGATAGATTTTTGAGACTACATTTTAGGTAAATTATATAGTCTCTGGATGATGACAAGAAAACAAACTACAGCTTCTAGAAACTTAATCTTCTGTTTGCAATTCCATGGTACTACCATTGTCCCTACTGAACGGTATTCTGAATTATTTACGGCAACAGTGCTCTTTAAGCAATAATTATCTTGACCCAGCCACCCAGCAGGTATAGATGAACTGAGCCTTGCCTACTTTGTCCTCCCACACCTGGCACCCAGTAGGCTATACTAAAGCTTGTAGTTATTGGAACTAGAACGCACCTACTCAAGCTTCCAGATCTGTAATATAGACTTCTAGAATAAGTATGAATATTCAGTGTCTCCATTGGCTCAGGCTACTATCCTATGTACTAGTCTAACAACAGTTAGGAAACCTGTGTGTCAGTGATCTTGGTTGTCACTCAAGAGATGTTAAGATTAGACATCATAGTATGCAAGCATCACTCTGACTGGATAATATAAATTGTTTGTTTTTACAGTACTAGGGATTGAATCAGAGCCTTGCACTAGACAAGTGTTTCATAACTGAAATACTTGCTCCCTGCCTAAGAATAGATCTTTAGTGTAAACTGACTTGATGCAAATATGATAGGTACTTCTCTTTATTTGCTTTTGTTACAGCTTCCTTTGCTTCATTCAACAGAGTATATTTCAGTGTTTTAAATTATAACTTTGGCACATGGTAGGCACTTAGTACAGGCCTGCTGCTGAGATTGTTATTATTTCCAGATGTCTCATGGGTGCTAAATGGCTGTTACTGGCTGGAATCTGTTGGCAGTGCTAATAATCTGAATTTCACTGAAATTCTGAAAAACCACTTTATGAATTGCCTAAAACAATTTAGGTGACCATGTGGTTTTTCTTCTTTAATATGTTAATATTACTAAATATTGTAATTGATGCTGTGGGATGTTCTGTATGGCAAATGTGTTGCTCTGATTGGTTAGTAAATAAAACACTGATTGGCCAGTAGTCAGGCAGGAGGAAGTGTAGGCGGGACAAGGAGGAGAATAAAGCTGGAAATTGGAAGGCCGAGTCAGAGGCACTGCCAGTTGCCACGATGACAAGCAGCATGTGAAGATGCTGGTAAGCCACGAGCCACGTGGCAAGGTATAGATTTATGGAAATGGATTAATTTAAGCTGTAAGAACAGTTAGCAAGAAGCCTGCCATGCCATACAGTTTGTAAGCAATATAAGTCTCTGTTTACTTGGTTGAGTCTGAGTGGCTGTGGGACTGGCGGGTGAGAGAGATTTGTCCTGACTGTGGGCCAGGCAGGAAAACTCTAGCTACAAATTGATTTTTTGTACCAGTTATTTTCACTGTGAAACCAGCCTTACATTCCTAGGATAAACCAGACTTGGTCATGTAATATTATGCTTTTTATATACTACTAGATTCAGTTTGTTTACACATTGGTGATGATTTAGAAGTATGAGCTCATGGGGTTGTATTTGTGGGAGAGTTCTTAAGTATGAATAGTCTCTAACACATATATAGAGCTAGTTACATATTCTGTTCCTCTTGTATCACTTTTGATAAATGTTGAACCTGAAGAGCTCCTCCTCACTCTGTGGCCTGAAATGTGCCTCCAGGCAAATAGCAGGTCCAATAATAGCGCTTTCTTGATTGACTTGTCTTCTCTCAAGGGCCACAGTTCCATGTTGCCTACTGCCAGTATCTAAAAGACATTTGTTTTGGGTATTTTATCCATCTGTCTAGTTCTTTCTGGCAGAAGGGTAACTCTGGGTTTTGTTCTACCCTGTGAGAAACTGGAAGCTACCTAGTTTTTTGGTTACTGAAGAGCACAACAAATTTTGTTGGTTATAGTTGTTTCTTAAACAGATGTATCAGCTCAGACTTGAAATTCTCAATTAGTTAAATTTTGCATGTACTGTTTGCTATTTAATCTGGCCATATACCATATTGTAGTCCATCTCTTTCTTTCACAAATAAGTAATATGATTTTGTTTTAGAAATCAGACTTCAAGACTAAACTTTATTTTTTCTCTTCATTTAAGTTCCCTTCAGCATTTGAGTTTAATGAATTATTCTTGATTACAATTTTGGATCACCTCTATAGCTGTCTTTTTGGAACCTTCTTGTGTAACTGTGAACAACAGCGTATCAAAGAGGTAAGTATATTTACTTCCCCTATTCCTCAGACAACTGTCCTAGTAAGGTCTACCAGAAGGGGGCCAAAATGGAATGAGGACTTGGCTCCTGATCCTACTGCTGCTTGGAAATGGTGCAGAGTAGTAGGAGAGATGACCTAGATGCCTTTCTAAGGTTTTGGCAGTCTGAGCATAGGTGTCTAATACTTGTAGAAGCAGGAACTCAACAAGCCCACAGCTCTCTAAGGTGTAGGACAAAATCCGTACTTCCATAGCTCAGTTTGATAGAACCCTGTTAACTATTTAAAAAAGATTTTAATTTATTTTTTATTTTATATGTATAAGTATGGTGCCCTAGGGAGCCAGAAAAGAGCATCAGATTCCCTAGAGCTGGAGTTCTAGACAGGATAAGCCACCATGTGAGTGCATGGAACCAAACCTCCAGGTCCTCTCTTAGAGTGGCAAGTGTTTTTAACAGCTGAGCCATCTTTCTAGCCCTTCTCTTAACTTCTTAATTTTAAAAAGGGGGCATTAAATAGTAAATATAATGGCATGTGAACCGAATATCAATAAAGATGTTTAAAATAAAACAAAGGAAACCCACAACTGCAGAATGAAATCTATGAACTGTATCTTTACCAGTTTTTGTAAAATAGGGAGTACAAGATTTATTCTTCATTTCTTTTAAAAGAACTCAACATAGATTACATAACATAAAATTTACTCATCTGAAGTATACAGTTCAGTACAATCTGATATTTAATTTCATAAATATTTCTATTACCAGTTATTCCCCATCCACCCAGCACCTAGAAACCACTAACCTGTCTATTCTGGACATTTCCTATAAATGGACTCATACAAGAGGTACATATTTGGGGGTGACCTTCTTTACCTAGTGTAAAAATTTCAAGTTTCATTCGGATGCCAGCATATTCCTTTTTATGGTTAAGCAATATTCCTTTATGTGAATAGAGCACATTTTGTGTGTCCATTCATCAGTTGATAGATATTTCAATTTTTTTTCTTTTTGTGGCTCTTTTGAATAATGTTGCTATAAGCATTCATGTACAAATTCCATTTCTATGCTGTCTTTTCTCTCAGGTATGTGCCTAAGAATGGAGTTGCTGGATCATGCAGTGACTCTGATTGACCTTTTGTAGAACCCCCATTATTTTCCAAAGCAATTGCACCAATTTGCATCCTTAGTAAAAATATTCTGCAAGTTTTAGTCTCCCCACATTTGCTGACACTTACTATCTTTCTTTTCAAAAAATAACCATGCTAGTAGATAGTGTGATGTAGTTTTTTGTTTACATTTCCCTAATGATAAATGATGTTGGGCATCTTCTCATATGCTCATTTGACATTTATTTGTTTTCTGTGAGAAATATCTCTTCAGTTCTTTGCCCATTTTTCAAATAGGTTATTTGTCTTTAAAAAAATCTTGACTTGTCAGTTCTTTATACATTTTTATATACAAGTCACTTTTATATGATTTATGAATGTTTTTCTCTCATCTGTGGGGTTTTCCACTGTCTTTATAGTATACTTTGAAGCACAAAAGTGTTTAACTTTGATGACATCTGATTTTTTTATGTTGTTTGTTCTTTTGATATCACAGCTAAGACAACATTGCTCAAGCCAAGGTCACCAAGATTTGATCCTGTTTTTCTTCTGAAAATGTTACAGTTTTAGCTCTTACATTTAGGTCTATGATCCACTAAAAGTTATTATTTGTGTATAGCATACACAAAAAGTCCAACTCTATTCCTTTATGTTGGCTGTCTAGTTGTCACAGTACTGTTTCTTGCAAAAACTGTCCCCCCCCATGGAATTGTGTTATCCTTGTTGAAAATCAGTTGAATGAAGCTGTGCATGGTAATGCATGCCTTTAATCCCAGCACTTGGAAGGAAGAGGCAGGTGAATCTCTGAATTCAAGGCTAGCCTGGCCTACCAGAATGAGTTCTAGGACAGTCAGGGCTACTCAGAGAAACCTTGTCTCAAAAAACAAAACAAAACAAAAAATCAGTTGACTGTAAATGTTGCATGAATTAATTTCTGTACTCTATCTGTTTCATTGACCTGTATGTCTGTTTTTATACTAGCAACACTGGTATTTATTATTATAGCAATCATGAGTCTTCACACATCTTCCTTTTTCAAGATTACTTGGGCCACTCTGGATCCTTTGAATTGTTAGTAATGTTTCTTTTATAAACAACATATATAAATAATGAAGTAGTCATAATTCTATGAGAATCCTATAGGTTTATAGTTCCTATGAAAAATATACCTCATAGAGAGTAGGCAGTCCCATGAGCTCCAGAATGGTAGAACGTTTACTTGGTTTTACTTTTTATTCATGTGACTTTTTCATCTTTTAATCCATTGTTTGATGGTTATCTGCCCCATTGTAACCACACATTTGGTTGTTTTTATTCAGATGAACAAATCTAATTGTTACAACATTTCGAAAGTATATACTGTAAAATTGAAAGGGAGGTATAATGTGATGGAAATATAAAGCTTTCCCAGCCTGCCACCATGGTGTTTTCCTGCAGATAGCCATGCCATTGCAGGGGATGCTAAATCCAAATTTGACTCACATTTCTGAATATGAAGAGTCACAAAAACAAACATCAATCAATCCAGAATAAAATATCTATTTGTTACTGATGATCCTGCTTATCTCGTAGAAGCTAGAAAGTTCTTATTCCACCTTCTTACAGATACAGTTACTATATATTGCCTAACTTCAACACCATGTTTTCCTGGGACAGCTCAAATGTCATATGTAGCACGAGGCTGTGCATAGCTTGAGGGGTGGACCTTAGTGAATGTGCATAGATTTTTCAGTGTTTGAATTCACTTCATTATCTAAATTCTTCCCTTTATGAAATATTAATCCTTGAGGCTATGGAGAAGAACTTATTTCAATGTACTGCTCTTTTCTTTTTTAGGATATCTATATAAAGACTATATCTTTATGGTCTTATGTCAATAGCCAGCTAGATGAATTTTCAAATCCCTTCTTTGTTAATTATGAGAACCATGTGTTATATCCTGTTGCTAGTATGAGTCACTTGGAATTGTGGGTAAATTATTATGTACGATGGAATCCACGGATGAGACCACAGGTAATTTTCTGTTCTTCTTTTCATAAGAGTATGTCTTTCTTTCAAAATAAAGTTAGTGTTATAAAAATGTGTATATAGTAGATACTGACATATTGAAGGTCTTTTGCCCCTAGAATTCAAGGTCCCATCTTTTGTGTTCCCATTCCAAGAGGTTCCTCACATACCAACCCTGATACCACTTGCTGAGTTAGAGTTCAAACACTTACATGTCTGTCTTATACTAGCAAAATGGTAGAAAGTATCATCTCTTGCTCTGTTTTGTTATGAATCTTATAAATTGCAGGGAGGTATTATGGATGGCACAGTACCTCCCTCTGCTAGTGTAGATATGGAGGCAGTAAAGGCCTGTGAAAAATGCTCTGAGGTTCACTTAGAATGTAATAGAAAGACAGTGTGTGATGAGTTGTAGATCAGGTACAGCTTGAAAGAGGAGTAAGTTTCCCCACACAGCTACATTATTTCACAATAAAGTAACATTTTTTGAAATTGAAAAAAAAGGTACAGTGCCCAATAGAGGCCAGTCAACAAAGCCTCTCACTGTAGACAAAATTCTAAATTGTCTTATTAAATAAAAATCATGGAGCCAAATATAGGGGTGAAAGCCTTAGATCAGAGAAGTAGGGAAAGCCACCAGCCAACTTTACCTCACCAACTCTGCATCTCCCAAATGCATGTTACCTCCTTTCTACCACACCTTTATTGCCTTGCTGTTCTGCCCTCTCATTGGCTATCTTAGCCCAGCTACCTCTCTTCCTCTTCCTACACAGCTCTGTCACTTTCTATCTATCTGTACAGGCCTCAAGACTGCTATGGTTGGTACTAGGATTAAAGGCATGTGTCATCATACTTGGCTCTGTTCCCTAGTGTGGCCTTCAAAACACAGAGATTCTGCCTGCTAAGGGATTAAGGGTGTGTGCTGCCTGACTTCTTGTTTACTTAAAATGGTTGGCCTTTCCCCCCGTGATCTCCAGGCAAGCTTTATTTATTACCATACAAATAAAATATCACCACATTTCAGCACAAATAAAATATCATCATATTTCCCCCTTCTATTCTAATAAAAAGAAAAAAAGAAAAAAGTTATAACTAATATAAGAGAAACTATATACAATAAGTACAATAACTATATACAATATATACAAGCAATAAATACATCAACATTGTCTACTCCATTTGCATTGAGAAATTCAGAGAAAATATTCCATTATCTATCCTATTTTGGTGAGTCCAAAATGTACCTAATTCACTTTCTATCCTATCTTGTATTACTAACAGAAAACTATCTTATAATATCTTTCAAACTTATACACTTGAAACCTCCTTAGTGAGTTTCTTTTCTGAATTTCTTAACCAGTAAAATTGTTACTCCAACTATCTAATCTTCAACTCCCTCAGAGACCCAAAAAGGAAATAATATTACCTAGTAAAACAGGAAGTACAAACAAGCAACTTCCAAAAAAAATGTGACTTGACAGAAACAGCCAGCTGCCTGGACAGTCACCCAAGGTTTCTCTGCAATATTGGGGCATTGCCTTCAGCCTAAAGGCTTAGCATATCTGATAGACTCATTTGTGAAACAGGATGTACACAAGGCCTACAGTTTAACCTCACATTGGGTGTGAAAATTCCATGCACCAGATAAACTTGAATTCCACTAGTGTCCTATCATGATTCAGCATTTTAAATTCTGGAAATTGCTGATGTTTTTGGAATTTGGCTGCCCATTCTTCTTGGCTTGTGGGTGGATTCAACTCTTTTATTAAATGCCAGTCTACCATTGAGAGGTTAGACTCCATCAGCCTAGTTACTCCTTCAAGAATAACTGTTTCAGGTACTGTTCCACTGCATGCCAGAAACCAGTGGTCTACTGCCTATTCAGCTGCCTTCAAAGAAAGGGGCACTGTACCTTTTCTGGATTGCAACGCCACTTCAGGGATGGTGCCATATTGTCCTGGCCTCAGAATGCCTGTTGCCAAAGCTACAACCACACTTGTCTTGGCAAGGATTGGTAGTCCTTTGTTTTGTGTCCTGTTTGTCAAATTTGGATAGCATACTGTCAGCAGTTGATACGAGGGCACTTTGTTGCCCAGTGGCTAACTTTTGTCACAATGAAAGTTAATTCCATATTCAGTTTTATCAACGCCCATATCTTCCCTGAAGTAGATTAGTGTTGCCAGGAGCAGACATGTCTCATAGTCATAAAAAAAGAAAAAAAATCTATATTATTAAAACATTTTAAATGCCATATTCTGTAGATCTTTGAAGGGTTTGAAGATGACCTGTGTATCTAAAATATATCTCTGCTTGACCTTGTAAACATACTTAATATGACTACAAGTTAGATTGTAATATGTAACTACTAACCTGCATTTCTTTATATCCTAATAGTTGATAATAATAACATTCAAAGATTAACAAATTGCATTACATTGTGAAATGAATTATATAGGTACAACATACTGAACAATTAGAAATATATGTACAGCATTTTTAACAATATCAATCTCAAATTTGTATCAATAGTTGTAATTTGTATACAATATATAAAAATCCAATCCAATGTAAAATATTTAAAACTAGTACTTGTCTTTTAAAAGTAGAGTCAATAATCTACCTTTTTATCTATATTATATCTATATCCTCTCTTTTTTCTTTTCAGAGTTGATTCAATAATCTACCCTTTATTCTATCATTTCTATATATCTTTTTTTCAGAGTACATTCAGTAGTCTACCTCTTATCTATAGCCTCATATTCTTTTCTTTTCTTTTCTTCTCTTTTCTTTACTTTTTTCCCTAACAAGAACCTTAAATCTAATCTCCTTTGTTTAGCCTCTCTCCTGACCTTTAACAATATCAACTTGTAACCAACCATCCTAAACAATGGCAATTATCCCAAGCCAAAAACCCATTGAAAGACCAAAAACCACCAGCCCCACCTCTTGGGAATATGGGCATCGTGTTCTTAAAATTGCTTCCTGCTGCTTGTGGGCAAAGGCATCATTAAGGGATCTTGAAAAGAAAATTTTGGGGTTAATTTTCAAGTTCTGGGAGAGGTAGCTATATCATTTGTTGTCCATTCTATGCGTAATGCCAAAGTGCAGGGCTTATCTCAAGTCTTTGTTTAACTAATCTGTGAAGCTGGATCATCTCTGGTAGCCATATTGAAATTGTTCTGAGCAGTTTGTAGTCCAAAGCTGATCTTTGGGTGATGTTTGTCAGTTTAGTGGTATTATTATTTTTCATGTGGAATTGTCATTATGGTGCCCCATCATCCTTCTGGAGACTTCAAATTTGCTATTAGGCCTAGTCATGATTCCCTGAAGAAACTGATAGAGACTCCAACACAAAAACATGTACAGGCAGCTAAATGAAGCCTCTTTTCTAGAATTAGTTAGTACTCTATATGACCATTAATATCGTAACAAAAGTTTTATATATATTAATATATATATAAATCTTATAAATTTTGATAAAAAATTCATACCTTAAGAAAAATTTAAAGAATCAAAATAGAACCAAAGAATTGAGATTGGTGGCAATAGAATAGTCCCTAAATTTATTGTTTTTCTTCTGTCCCATATCAGATGGCTCTTTCTTCTGACATGATACAGAGATTTCTCATTTTCGTTTTATCAAGCTTTGGTTTAGAGAAGGAGAGAGCCATTCTCCAACTCCAAAGCCAGCTAAAATTTTTAATTGAACTGGGACTACAAAAACACCATTTATGTTAAATGTCTGTAGAGAAGAGCAGAAGCAAACATGTAGGAAAATTTATGAAATTTTATGTGTGATATACCAATAGGTCAATTTATTCTTTTTCTTGGGACATTTTTTTCTGGAAGATTTTCCCTTTTTTTTCAGATGTCTCATTTGTCCATTGTTCTGCAGATATATCAGTCTTCATTCTCCTGAAAGACAAAAACAAAAACACTTCTTCCAGCCTAACTTTGTGGAGGTTCCCTTTTGGCAAGTTATATCTGATTAAATGAGAAGTATTTGTTAGTGGTATAAGTTAGTTTAAATTGAATGGTCATGCTGGTAGATGAACTATCACCTCTTCCAATTAAGATGTCTCTCTTGTTCAAATCAAACCTTTATCAATTTTGATGGTATCCATAGCTTATCTTCTCCTATAGAAACAAAAGCAAAAGCTCATCCACAACGTAACACATATCCTGGTTTCCATTCTGAGGTCAGCACATCTTTAAAGTATATAGGTTGATTTAATTCTGTAGTTTTTGTCTACTGTTCAATGTCTCTCTGCAGCTGTTGTTCCTTTCTCATTGTCATTAAGAAAATTCAAAGTTAATAGAGCATTATGCAGTCTATTTCTGGGGGTTTTTGTTACCCGTTTCTGTTTCTTTAGCATATCCTTTAGAGTTCAATTTGGCCTGTAGGGTTATGTGATATAGCTGTAATATGCTTTATATTGTAATAAGCAAAAAATTGTTTCATTTTAACAGAGACATATGCTGGAGCATTGTCAGTTTTAATTTGTGCAGGTATACCCATGATGACCATAACTTCTAGCAAATGAGTGATTACAGAATCAGGTTTTTCAGAACTCAAAGCAGTTGCCCATTGAAATCCTGAATACATATCAGTGTGGTGTACATATTTCAGTTTTCCAAATTCTGCAAAGTGGATCATGTCCATTTGCCAGATTTCATGCCTCTGAGTACCCTTTGGGTTACATCCTGCTGGTAATAGTGTCTGATTGTAAAAAAGTACATTTCCTTACAATTTTATTGGCTTGTTGCCAGGTTATAGAAAAATCTTTTTTTAAACTGTTACTATTGACATGATGCTTTTTATGAAATTCTGAGGCCTCTGGAACATTTCCTATCAATAGTTTATCTTGTCATTACCTTGTCCTAGCGGTCCTGGCAGACTAGTATGGGATCTGATGTGAGTTATATATAAGGGATGCTTCCTATTCCTGATTATATCTTGTAACTGAATAAATAGTGAAGTTAATTCTGATGCATCAGGGATAAAT